GTTTAGGGTTTAGGGTTTCCGACCCACCAGCTAGGGGCCTACGACCTGCAGGCGTCGGCAGATGACCGGCGAACGCGCTTGTTTTCAGCAGTGCACACGCACATCTTCCTCAACGGTCTGCCTGCCCTTGACTCGATGAAACCTCAGTCCACAGTCGGTACTTAAAGGATCATGGGACNNCTGAGTAAGTAGGGTTATAACTAAGGTAACTATACTTGTAACCCCATTTAAGGGACTTATAACCTTACTTACTAGGTCCCATGATCCTGCAAGTAAGTTCAGTGCTTGGGAGAAGTTGTCCATTCCGCCCAAGGTACAGGATGGTCTTGGCAAACGAGCTCGAATAGCTCGAGGGCACAAACAGCGGCGCCTCACTGGCTATGATCATGTCCTGAGTACTCCAAGGACCCGTGCACTTGCGCATATCTGCGAACTCATGAGCATTCAGCCAGGACTGCCGGTGCACAAGGGGCGCAACGGCGAACGCGCGTTTGCACCGAGTTCCCCTTGTGACGGTACAGACGAGGCTCGATGAGGGCTCGTTGCCACGGAGCGAACGAAGCCTCCTCTATGCCAACAGTTGTGAGGCAACTCCAGACCGTGCAAGGAGATGCAGGTCCTCGAACTGCACAATCTCCATCCCCAACTTCTTTTTCAGCTCTTCTAGATCTGCCTCATCCTGTTTGATTGTGCAGCACGCCGTGATTCAGCATGACAGTGCCTGCACCTTGCAGTTCGTCGATAGAAAGGCTCTTCGTACAATAAGGCCGTGCTTGTCCAGTGTGGACGACACCTTGTACCAAAGTGAGACACGTGCATCGCCTGATGTGCACAGCATGACTGGCGCCGAACCTCGTCAGCCAACTTCTCGGCGTCCTTGTGCATGCTCGTTCCTGCCAGGTGTTGAAGTGGTGTTACAACCGAGGTTCCTGCGTCTTAGCTGCAATAAGGGCTAGCACTAAACCCTAAACCCCTAAACCCTAAACCCTAAACCCTAAATAAACCCCTAGACCCTAAACACTGAACCTGCTATATTCTATTCAAAAACCAAGGCTCCATGTCTCCAGTGCACAGCCACGAAGCTTCCATCGTGCATCAGCCGTTCGCGAATGAAACTACGAGCAGCATCGACCAGCCTCCCAGAGAACCCAATACCCCTTAATTAAGGAATATACCTTAAATCATAAGATTAAGGGCCTCTATAAGTTAAGGTATATGCCTTAATTAAGGAGTATTGGGTTCTCTGGGCTTGGCAAACAATGAATCTGACTGATTAGGCGGGATGCATCCAGAAGCAGCTCAAAGAGGCAACACAAGCGATGCGTCCAAAGAACGAGTTGGCTTGTGACATGCTCGGGTGTGGTTGGAAGCACTGATGGTCATCTGTGTTCAATTCGACAAATCTTGGCAGTATGTGCCGGAACACGCTACTCACAACTTTGACACACGGTAGGTGCGAGCTCTAGGCTTCAGGGTTGAGAACCCTGCTCGAGGCAAGTGGGAAGTGGCAGAGGGGGGACACTATACGTTACGAGGTGGGGGGAGGGGGGAGGGGGGAAGCGGGCAGGAAACATACAGAGTGGGAAACTCTGTTGGGCAACAGGGTTTATCTTTCTATCTATCTATCTCTCTACATATATATATATATATAGACACGCATATGTATATATATATATATATATCTATATGTTATATCTGATACTCTCTTATACGTATATGTATACATATACCAATACATGATAGCGTACTATATCTAGTACAGGATTATTTGTCATAACATAGTATAACAGCATGTAATTCAACGGAATATCACACAATAATGCATAATCTAATCTGAAAGACAAAACCAATATAGTTTAATGTAACTTAAAACAATATAGTACGAAACTATAAGATATCATGTAATGAAAATATAAAACTGCATGTCACAATACAATGCAACCTAGTACCATATAATACAATATAGTGCAATACAATACAGTATGATACCATATAATACAATATGATACGTTTTTTCTACAACATAATACAATATGATACAACATAATGCAAAACGGTAGAAAGGAGAGTATGTAGCAAAATGCATTCCTGAAAGGACATGACATGATAAAAAAACGCAAGATAATTGTGACAACAATATTACTCTACATAAGACAGTACTATACTACACAATATAAGATAAACGATGTTTTTAACAAGTTTTAAGATGATACTATATAACATGGCAATGTATATAGTAGTATAACAAGAATGAAGTATAACATGACATAACATTACAGCATATAAAAAAAAAAATCATGCATGGCACAATATAGTATTATAAGAATAAAATACAGTACCATGTGATTAACAAATACAACACACAATATGATATGACATATTCTAATATGACATCATACCATACCATATAGTACAATAAAAATACAGAAACTGCTTAATAATAATACGTATAAATGTATATATTACAATGTAAAACAATATAATAGAATATAACACAATAGGATATGGTATAACAAAATATAAAGTACTTAGTTTTCATAGAATGATAGTACAATATAATACAATGTATGACTTAATAAGATATCAAAGATAAGAAATACGAACATTGCGTTATGGTGTCTTATATATATATATATAACAGTGAATGTAAAACTCTCATCGCATTACCAGTACCACAATGCACGAGAGCCGAAGCCGACGGCCGACAGAAGCCAAGCAGCGTGGCGTTGAAAGCCATGTCGTAAGGCCACTGCTTCCCACACTCTCCTGCAACAAACGGCGAAGAAAAGTACGTTAGGATTTGGAGTTTAGGGATTGGGTTTCAGGGTTCAGGGTTTAGGGTTTAGGGTGTAGGGTTTGAGGTTTAGGGTTTAGCAGAAACTGTCGGTCCTAGCGGGATCAAGTCCACTCCTTGGTCGCTGCAGGGCAGAGGCAGATCGTCTCCAAGGGAATCATGTGAGAAATGCGGACAACGGATCCAAAACCCTGAACCCTAAACCCTAAAACCTGAACCCTAAACCCTGAACCCTAAACCCAAGCCGAAGAGGCTACAATTCGCTTGCAGCAGTGCCCAACTACTGCTACTTGGTGGTTTCCGAAAATAGGGGCCCCTAATATAGCACCCTAAATAGTAGGATCCTTATTGTAAGGACCCCATGATAAGGTACCCCTTTTTTTCTCGGAAACACCCTAAACCCTAAACCCTAAAGCCTAAACCCTAAACCCTAAATCCTAAACCCTAACTTTTAGCCCCGAATGGGAACCAAGAGTCGATAGCCAGGGAGTTCCTGGTTGTTGCGAGTGTTCAATGCCTCAGCGACAGGCAGCCTTAGGGTTTAGGGTTTAGGGGTTTAGGGCTTAGGGTTTAGGGATTTAGGGGTGTAGGGGTTTAGGGTTTAGGGTTTAGGGTTTAGGGTTTAGGGTTTAGGGGGTTAAGGTTTAGGTTTTGAAATTTAGGGTAACTTCAACGGGCAACGGGCAAGCACTGCCAAAACGACAGGGCCAAGCCGCCAGGACCTGGCAGGGAACTCCAGGATCTCAGAGGCACTGAAACAGTTGCAAATCCGTTCTCTCTGGGTTTAGGGTTTAGGGTTTAGGGGTTTAGGGTTTAGGGTTTAGGGTTAGCCGCAAACCCTCGGAATCCAGCGCCGAAGCCTACGAGAGCATGTTGGCGGAGGCCTCCTCGCGACTCTGCAAGAATGGTGTCATCATCTCACGAGTTTCCAAGCCTCACGTGCAGCGACGACACCAAGTCGCTGTGGTGCCCCAACTCGCACTGAGCCACAGGCATTTGATTCGGGAGTACCACCAGCCATCTTCGAAGATGCTCATCCGTCCATCGGGCATCTCAACCGTTTGCCCTGCAAGACAATCGATGCCTGAGCTGTCAGCTCGCAAATGCCACAATCTTTGGCCCCCTGCACCAGCCAGGGACCGAACTCCATCCACTGAGCGTTCGGCCATGATGATTTTTCGCTTCTCTGGGAGTCATGTAGACCACGTCGATCGTGGCGTTTGCTTGGGTTCGGAAATCCGTGTAGGAAATCCAGGAAGCATAGTCACCAAACCTTTCCGCCACAAGAAACCACTCGCGTAAGGACGTTGAGTTTACCTGGTCCCTTTCCTTGCTGCACCACAAGTCATTCCACCCCACTCAGTTGAGACATGACACAAGAAATAATTACCTGACTGTTTCTACGAACAGAGGAAACTATGCCGGGAGGATGCACTGTATGCTCATTTGGAAGCACATGCATGCATACTCCAGAGCGCACAGACAGACTCCTTACAAGCAGGCAGATGCTGGCAACTGGGTACGAGTAGTTGTCAAAATTATGGTCCTTTTTGGGGTACCCTAAATTATAGGTGCCGTATTATAATAAGGACCCAAAAAGGGACCATGATTTTGACAACCACCCAACTGAACTCTCAGTAGAGCACGCTGCTGGGTCATACAAGCTCTGGAATGGCTCGAAGTGCGCATTTCTCTCCTGTGCTCGCTGCTTGTCACTTCCGATGCAACAGACGGTTTAGGTTTAGGGTTTAGGGTTTAGGGCTTAGCACCCAGCTTCAAGACAATCCTGGTACCGGTCTCCATCAACGTCTGGCACCCAAAACGGCGGCCTGACTCAGCAAGCGTATTTTGCTTCGGAGCCTGAACGTGTGCAAGCGTCTCGCACTGCACGAGATATGCTACATTAGGATCATGGGGACTTAGTACCCGCAAATATACGTATGTTCACTCATAACCTCGACGACTAAAGTACGTAGAACCGTACTTACCACGTCCCCTGATCCTGCAAGTAGCTCGTCTCCCTGATGCTAAGCCTGCCGCAAGACCAGAGTCCTGCCGAGCCTTGGGGCAGCAGAGCAGTGTAACATGCTATGATCTAAGATGTAAAATAACGATCACAATAACAGCAACAGCCATGATAATCCCAGAAAACAATAACACAATGCGACAAAATGGCACGCAATGGAATGTAACACAACATAGTGTAACATAACAGCAGACACTGCAATCTATGGCCCCTAAACCCTAAACCCTAAACCCTAAACCGTACTATCATCTGCCAGCGCGGCCAAGACGCCTCTTGGAAAGCTTCAGCGCTGTTTGAAACCACAGCAGGCGCTGATCACCGAGCCCGTTCCTGCAACCGGGTACCGAAGATGCTCTCAGAGTCTGCCAGAGTTTTTTTACCAGAGTTTAGGGGTTAGGATTTAGGGTTTAGGGTTTAGGGTTTAGGGTTCAGGGTTTCGGATTTAGGGTTTAGGGTTTAGGGGTCAGTCTTGGGGTTTCAAGCTCCTTTGAGGGATGTTTCGGGGTTCCTTTAACGGGATCTATGAGATTCCAAACTAGGGTTCAGGGGTTTAGGGTTACTTGGAGGATCAGGCTGTAAGTAGCTTAATTGGGGCTAGCAGGAATTATGGGTATGTTTGCCAGATTTATGACCCACGTTACTAAGTCCCACCATCCTTGGAACCCCAAAATCTTAAAGATCCTTTAAAGCAACCCTTTAAGGAACCCTTTAGAGTGACAAAGTCCCATGATCCTTCAAGATCCTGTAGGAGCTGCACGCCCTAGCTCAAACCAGGCTGGCCTTTTCAATCATGGTAATTTAGGGTTTAGGGTTTAGGGTTTAGGATATGTATAAACCCCAAGAGGTTAAAGGCTACCCACTCAGCTACTAAGGTCCTGTAGTTGAAGCTGCAAAACAGGTATCTTCGCGGTCCGCAGCCTCCATCTGCAGTGCAAACCTCGGAACAAAACGTACAATGAAAGGGGAGAAGCGATAGGTTTGGGATGTCTTCGGCCATCATAGAGTCACGTCGGACGCAGGCAACAAAAACATGCAGATGCAAGCAATGCGCTATGAAAGCTTGCCTAATTCAGAAAATCTTCCAAAAAGACAGCATGACCATCGGAGGACTCCAGCGTCCGCGAAAGCTTTACACTCGGCACAGCTGTGTCCTCAAAAGGGCAGAGGTCACATCGGGTTTGGGATTTAGGGCTTAGGGTTTAGGGGCTGTGGCCGGGTCACGTCGGAATTGCATTCTGCTGGCATCGGGTTTTTCAGCACCATAAGCCACAGGAGCCTCGGCACTTCACTCGCACTGCCTAGAATCTCCTAGACCGAGACAGTCATGGCCTGCAGCATACTCCGGAGAACCACCATGGCGCAGGCCGTTCAGCACGCATAAATGCTCCGTGTGGCACATAGGGAACACGTACTCGGTGGGATCAAGGAGTGTAGGGCGACATAAACCTTTTTACAAGATGTGGCTGCATCTTGCCTTTCTTAAGTCATGGTCTGTTGCATGTCTCTGGGCAGAGCAAGCGGATGCGACAGCAGTCAGCCCCATGCCTTCTCGAGACTGCCTGGAGCAATCATGATCCACGTGCCTCTCCGATGATGGAGCCGTCTTTCAACTTGCACACATATCTACCTCCAGAGGTAACCTGCCAGCTCAAGCTTGAAAGCCGGGTCATGCCCTTGATGGTTATTAGAATGAAGTATAATACGGTATAGTACTGTATGTTACACAAGAACATCCTCTTTCATACTGGATGGTAACTTGTTGTAATAACCTACTGTATTATACTATCTTCGTATAGTATACCTAGACCTATGCATCGCAAGAGTCCGCCACGCTCTGTCAGAGTCCTCCAAACTGGATCAGACGGCTCTTACAGCTCTCCGGGAGCCTCCACCACACCCTTGAAGAGAACGTACCTCGGAGCAGCAGCCCTGAAGTGCGAAAGCGCTGCTAGATTGCAATCCCTGACTGCCAAGGAAGACATAAGAAGCAGTGCCATGTGGGTAGTTCTCTAAGTTAGCGTCCCTTTTTAGGTCCCAAATATAGTAGGCACCTTAGTAAGAAAGCCCTAAAAGGGGCCCTAATCTAGAGAACTACCCGTGTGCTTTAGTCGAAGCCTTTTTGTCCTCTTCGCTGCAGGCTGCAGGTGATGTCCATCTAGTATTGGACCAGCCTTTGACGCTCGTCTTCTGACATCCCGTGCTCTGTTTGCAGGAAGTCGGCGAGCTCCTGCTTGTTATCTGCTACCTCGTTCAAGTCCGTGGCCCCCATCTCATCGCACCAGGTGTTTGCAGCTCCCATGTAGGATTCAAGGTCTCGTGTTGTCATCCACAGATGAAGACCCGGGATGACCTCTGAGACTTCTGCCTTGCTGACTGGTGCACTCAGATCCTCCCATTCCTCTTCCTCCTGCTCTTCAACCGGCACGGCCGTGAAGCCGAGACTTCGCATGGGCGGCGGCAGAAAGACCTTGCCGCTTTCTGTCCGCCTGCTCCGGCACCATAGCTTAGTTGCACCAAGATCAAGGGCAGTGGAGATGAGCTTTCGAAGCAACACCTCCTCAGCGTAGAGGCCTTGGTCCATGCAGTCGTCACCGAGGCAAACCCTAAACCCTAAACCCTAAACCCTAAACCCTAAGCTCTAAACCCTAAACCCTAAACCGGGCCTTGGTCCATGCAGTCGTCACCGAGGCAAAGATCCACCAAGAGCTTCTGCTTCCGACTGTTGTAGCACCACAGGGCCATGGCTGAGCCCTTCCTTACTTCCCCAAGAAGACAGGGAAACAAAAGGTAAAACTTTCAGAGCACTACCAAATTCTAAGAACCCAAAAAAGCGTAACAAGTATAATTGTTGGAGAAGTTGTAAGAACCCAAAAAGTTTGAAAACTTTTGGCATTGGAGAACTAGGCTTCGTTGTGCCAAGCAATTATAAGAGCCCCAAAAAGTTTAACAAGCTTAATTATTGGACAACTAAGCTTCGTGGTGCCAAGCAAGCTGGTGCATTTCAGGTTTTTGAGCCTCTCTGCGTCGGAGGGGAGGGGATCCTCGGGCTTCCTCCGCCGAAACTTCGAAGTCCTTTGGGCTTAGGGTTTAGGGTTTTGGGTTTTGGGTTTTGGTTTTAGGGTT